ACTCTTAGTCTTATCCCACAGGTGCAAGTTAACTTAAACCTTCCGAACGCGGGGGGTGCTACCCGGGCCATTTCTTTAACCATGAACCTTTGTTTAAGGGATTCCTTTGACTTAAAGCTTTAGTTCAGTTCCTTGATATTATCACACATTTTCAGTCTTATTCTCCCAATGTGCTATACCCAATCATATATACCTAATATAATCACGCCACGTTACGTATATTACATAAGAGAAGAGAGAAATATCTGGGGTCTCACAGTAGACCAATCGATTACAAAGGTAACAATCCTTGAAAGAATATGAGCAAATGATCAAAATGATCATAATAAGGAGGAAATAAGCTCTGGAAGAGCCCACGACATAACATTTCATGAAACTCCGGAAGAAGTTCAGGTACCTGAAAATAAAGAAAGTGATGAGATCTCAACAAGTTATGTCGCTTGCGAACTGATACGAAATGATCGTCGACGATATATTTGATACAATATAGTGCACAATATTATAAAAGATTGTGAGGATCGGACCTGTAGTCCAGACATCTGAAGATGTCATGCCATTTAAATATGACTCATTTGATTAATTCTATATGAAGATCCCTGAAGGATTAAAATGCCTGAAGCAAATTCAAAATTTCGGAAAATGTATTCAATCAGATTACAAAGATCTTTGTATGGTTTAAAGCAATCTGGGAGCATGTGATATAATCGTCTTAGTGAATATTTGTTGAAAGAAGGTTACATAAATAATGTTATTTGTCCATATATTTTTATGGCATCAAAATTTGTTATATTTGCTGTTTATATTGGTGATATAAATTTTGTTGGAACTCCAGAAGAGCTCCAAAAGGCAATTGAATATATTAAGAAAGAATTTGAGATGAAAGATCTTGAAAAGACAAAACTTTGTCTTGGTTTACAAATTCAACATTTAGCAGACAAGATCTTTATCCATCAATCTTCCTATACATAAAGGGTCTTAAAACGCTTTTACATGGACAAAGCGCACCCATTGAGTACACCAATGATTGTTCGATCACTTGAAGTGAATAAGGTCTGACCTCCAGAAGAGGATGAGGAACTCCTTGGTCCTGAAACACCCTATCTTAGTGCAATTGGTGTACTTATGTATCTTGCTAATGCTACAAGGCCTGACATAGCATTTTCTGTTAATTTACTAGCAAGATATAGCTCTTCTCCTACACGGAGACATTGGAATGGGATTAAGCATATATTGCGATATTTAAAGGGAACTCTTGATATGAGTTTGTTTTATGCTAACAAAGGTAGTGCAGATCTTGTTGGTTATGCAGATGCAGGTTATTTATCCGATCCCCATAAAGTTCGATCTCAAATTGGGTATGTGTTTACATGTGGAGGTATTGTCATATCATGGCGCTTCACAAAGCAATCTATTGCTGCTACTTCTTCAAATCATGCTGAGATAATAGTTATTCATGAAGCAAGTAGGGAGTGTATATGGTTGAGATCAATGATTCATTTTATTCGAGAAAAATAAGGGTTGGAATGTGATAAAAGACCCACAATTTTATACGAAGACAATGCTGCATGCATAACCCAATTGAAGGGAGGATTTATAAAAGGAGATAGAACGAAGCACATTTCACCAAAATTATTCTACACACACGATCTTCAGAAAAATGGTGACATTGATGTGCAACAAATTCGTTCAAGTGACAATCCGGCAGATTTATTCACTAAATCTTTACCAACTTTAACTTTTGAGAAGATAGTATACAAGATTGGAATGCGGAGACTTAAATATTTGAAACAAGGTTTTCATCAGGGGGAGTAAAATACGCGATGTACTCTTTTTTCCTTACTAAGGTTTTTTCCCACAGGGTTTTCCTTATAAGGGTTTTAATGAGGCAGCTAGCAATGCGTATTACTAAATATGTGTACTCTTTTTCCTTCACTAGGATTTTTTCCCACAGGATTTTTTCCTATTAAGGTTTTAATGAGGCACATTATCTTATAATGAACATCCAAGGGGGAGTGTTATGAAAATAATTATATTATGGATGTTCATATATTACTCCGCTATAGATAATCTTCCTGAAAAAGATTATCCATTTAGTACTCTGTTGAAGTTTATCTACAAGCAGGTTGCAAGCAGTTCAATGAAATGATTTGGAGCAACTTCTTATTAAACAGGCATGTTGCAAGCAACTCATGCAGACAACTTATAAGCAGCTAAAGAAAAGCCTTGCAGCTGCTTCCTGAAAAGCCTCACAACTGCTTCCTTTCTTCTATAAATAAATGAGTTTTCCGTTCATTATGTACATAAGTTTGAAGTTTGAATAATATATCAGTTTTTCTCTATACTTGTCTTTACTTTACGGTTAATATTTTATAACACTTTTATAATTGTTGAAGTTTTAATATCTACTCATAAGTTTTTAATAATTATAGTTCAACCCCAAAAATTTTAATTATCCCCTAATTACCAAAACTTGGTCAAAATCTTTTAATTTGTTCAAGACTTAGGGATCATTGTGCCCCATTCTTCTCGAGTCTGTATCACTGTCAACTCTTTGAACTGAAACAAACTTTATGTAGAAAAAATCAGGAGAATAGTTTAGAGCTCCCTCCGGAAACATCCAGAGAATCCTCAAGGCTCGACGTCAATGGCGAGGGTTCCAAGCAAGCACTCTCGCGATCAATTTCAGGTATATTCTCTCTCTCTCTCTCTCTCTCTCTCTCTCTCTCTCTGTTGCGTTATATTATTTATTTATGTATAAACTGAAAATGCCTTCTACTATTTCATACCGCTCTCTTACTCCAATAGCGGAGCTTATTAAAATGGAAATTAACTTCTTAATTCCGCGTTTTATTGATTGTTGCAGCTTTGTTCTACATGGTTTCGCTCTTGGATTTTAAGTCTGCAATTTTTTTTACTGAACTCTTGCTGAAACTAGATGTTGTTATGTGTGTGCTACTAAAAAAAAACTCAGGGAATTAATATTGTTTGTCAACTCTGTTTTTATTGGCGAGTAGAGTGTTTTATTTCTGGGATTTGTTTGGTGGAAAAATAAAAATGCACTAAGAAAGATTGCTAATATCCAAGTTTTGAAAAAATTGCAAACCGGATAGTGTTTTGAGAAAAAAGTTTAGTATTAAAGATTGATCAAAATGTGTAAGTGTTGGTTAAACATAAATTAGTGCGATGAAGTTAATAGTTGAGATAATTGGAAAGGAAAATGACTTCCACCTAATTGAGGGAAGTCATTTTTTCCATTTTGGTGGAAACCAAATACCAGAAAATAAGTCTTTTTCTGAAAATATTTTCCGTCATACCAAATTAACCTGAGATGGAGACGGGAGTCATATGATTGTGTAAAGAGTTCTCTTTTATCTAATTTGTATTTGGTGTGCAAGCATGAGACTCTTGCTTGTGTAGTCTGATTCCTTTTTGGTTAGGCTTAAGGCAGAACAGTTATGTCTAATCTTGTAAATATGACACCTGATATTGTTCGTGTATATATTGATTTATCACAAAAAAATGTCATGTCAAGTATTTATGTATGTATTGATTTATCACAAAAATATGTCATGTCAATGTTCTCAGTGATGCTGTGAAGGATAGAGCAGGTAGGATCGAATTATAATAGAAGCTGACAGAGGCAAACACATTAATTCAAATACCTTTATTATGACAATTTTATGTGAACCTTAGTAGTACCATTCCCAGTTCAGACGCGGTGAGATTTCTCTTCCTGTCTGTGACGTTATATAATGAGTGATTTCAAGTTTTACTCGTTATTCTAAATTAGAAAATGTATCTAGAAGCACTTTTATTTCCTTCTCAATTTTAGGTTGTATTTTTCAATTGACTTGATTTACCAACCAAGAGAAATTCCTTGTGAAAATGCAGCAAACTAAGCAGTGAGAAGAATTTGGGTTTTTACTCTATTCTGAAGTACCTCAAGTCATGTTTCATGTATCATGTGTACTTACTTTGTCTGTTCTGCTGGGGGTGAGCATGGTTGAAGCTAGCAAAAAGGATTTTAACTGGCAATACAGTTTATTAAACATGCTCTGGTTAGCTGACAGTCAAATTTTAGTTTTGCTCTTTCTCTTAAAGTTTTTTTTTGGTTGACACACATCCCGAACCTTTCAGTTTGATATATTGCATGCATCTCAATATCTAGACGTCTACCTCTCTGAGTTAACTAATGTTCATGTGTGTTTCAAAGGGCTTTTAATCGTCTGCTCTGCATTTGACTCTTTATCTTCCACCCACGTACTTACTAGTCTCTTACTTTTTTTCAAATGTTTCATGTGAGTGACCTGCATGTAATTTAGGGATTCATTTGCTTGATATTCTCTGGTTTGTGGTTTTACTGGCATTATTTGGCTGACCAGGACATGCAGGGGCTCTTGAATAACTTACAGGATTGGGAACTATCATTGAAGGATAAAGACAAAAAGATGAAATCGCAGGCTCGTGGCAAAGAGAAGTTGGTAATCACTTATTTCAAAACCTACCTCTTGATATGTACTGGTAACGTGCATTTTTAAATGATGCTTTAATTAATTGGAATTATGCATTGGTGATTCACTTTTCTTTGGCGTGTGACACATGTCATTTTGTCTTCCCCTATGTTCTGAGTCAATTTTCATCTGTTTGTGTGGCACTTCTAGGGGATCTTTGAGTGATATTTGTAATCTGCTTTAGAGGTGCACCTTTTGTTTGTGATTATGATTCTGAGATCTGCTGTTTTTAAATTGTTTAACTTTGTTTAGTAGATCTTTTTAGGTTTTCTGTCACTAGAATAATTGTGGACATCGCGTTGATTCAAGTGTCTGCAGCCGTTTATACCTTTCTCAGTCATTTTGGCTAAGATCAAAATATGTTTCTGCACACTCTGCCTTTGTTGTCCTTGGTTGTTGAAGAGGTTACATCATACGTACATCATCCATGAGGACTGTGGTGCTGTGGGTTGTTTGTAAATGATTTTGTCTATGTTGACTTCTCAATCCTAAACGTTTCTCCTTTCTCCTAATTACCTTACAGAGAGAAGACTGGAGCCATACTAGTGAACTTCCTACTGGTCCTCAAGTTACTGGGACACAACGAGTTGGCAAATCTACCTCGATCTCAAGTGCTGCTGGTCCATATGATTATTCTAAAAAGTACAATCCAACTAGCCATCTATCAATTGAAATGTTGTCAGAAGAGAGTAACATTGACGCCAATTCAGAGAAAGAGCTGGTATAATTTGATCCTTAAAATTAATTCTCCTTTTTTTGGGGGGGGGAATGAAAGCTTGGTCGTTATAGCTGGTGCTCTGCCTTTTATCTATTCCCAGGGTAATGAGTTCTTTAAGCAGAAAAAGTTCAAGGAAGCTATTGATTGCTATTCTAGAAGCATCGCACTTTCACCAACTGCAGTAGCTTATGCCAATAGAGCAATGGCCTATCTTAAGATCAAAAGGTAAGTTTAATGCACTTCATTGTTCTTTTAGTTAAAGTATAGTTAAGACTTGAAAAATGGGGAGCAGTCTTATCTCCTTGTATTTAGGTTTCAAGAGGCAGAGAACGACTGCACAGAGGCCTTGAATCTGGATGATCGCTACATTAAAGCATATTCTCGCCGTTCAACTGCTAGGAAAGAACTTGGAAAATTGAAAGAATCAATTGAAGGTATACTTTTATCTAAATTTAAGCATAAGGGGTACTGTCATATTCAGGTTTCCATATTTGTCTAATGCAACGGTAGCAGCACAGATGCTGAATTTGCCTCGAGGTTGGAACCACAAAACCAAGAAATCAAGAAGCAGTATGGAGAAGTTAAGGCTCTGTATGAGAAGGTGATCACTCTGCTTGGCCTAGATGCGATTTCTTTTTTTCCTCTTAAAAATTTGTTGCATTGTAATAATCTACAATGATTTCTTTCTTGGAGATACTTTGGTGCATGTCTCCTAGGACTGTGTGATGGTCCTAGTCCTTTGGAGGGTCTTACACTATATTTCCCTTGATGAAATGAGGAAAAGGGACTGGTGGTAAAATTGAAGTCACAGCTATACCATCCTTTTGCAATCACTTCACCTATTGAAGTATTATAATTCCAGTTTACCAGCCAAAATGTGTGCTTCATGTAGGCTTATCATGGATAATAATCTGGTTAATGGGAGATAGCGCTGTTTGTGCACATATAATGTGGGAGGAACTTGTGCAAGCTAACCGATAAAGTTCTGTTTGCATGCACTGAAGAACTATTGTTTAGTTTTCCTTGATTGCACCATGATACTTTTGTGTGGAGCATCATCTCTTGCTAGATCTCTTGTTCCCTTTCAGAGGCTGTATAATTTGTTTTTTGACATTTTATTTGTTTCTTTTATGCATTGATCACAGATTATTTAGCAATCAATTTAATCAACCTTGTAGGAGATTCTTAAAAGAGTATCAGCAGCAACAGGAGTTTCTGCACAAGGGGCTCAAAAGACTGGAAAGACAAATAAAACTGGCCCTGTGATCCAATCTGTATCAGGTAGTTCTCAAAAGGTGGCTGAAGTTCGGAAAATTCCTGCCAAGGTTGTCATTCTAAACCGTTGCATTTAATTTTCTTTTCCATTTTGACTCTAATGTTCACACCTGTGATTACTTTAACACTAAGAGGAAAAGGATTAAGATTGTTGGAATACTCTTAAGGTATTTGAATGATTATGCATATAATTAACAATTCCTGGAGGGATCAGTGGGAATTATTGGATTTTGATAGTATTATAGCATTGAAGTATCTGAATGCAAAAGCATGAACCAATTCAGTGTCATCTTGTATAATTTCTTAATAAATTATTGATTTTACCAGTTATTTAATGGTATTCAAGCACTCTTTAATAAAGAGAAAATAATATTCAAGCACTTAGCATACTAAAGTTAAACTGATGTGGGGAGACGTGAAAGATTTAGAGGATCGTAAGAAACTTTTATATGATGATTGGAGTTCATGCATATTTCCAACTATCCTTGATAGAATTGTGATTGGGTTTTAAATTTGTGCATTTTTTCCTAATATAAACAATAACCTGAGATGTTTTTCTCACAGAGTGATTCATTATCAGGTTCTGAGATTGACTATAATGGATTGTTAACATGTAAAATAATCCTCTGTTTCAATCTTTTATCTTCTATCTTAGATACTGGTACTCAAGTTAGATGTCAAATTTCGTAGTAAAATAAGTAGGTCTTTGGTGGGGATATAGTCTACTCTCTGGAGAATTTGAACTTTCTCTAATATAATTTAGGTTAAGGGTGGCAAGTGGGCCGGGCCCGGTCCTAAGTGGGCTTCGCGGGCCCGGTCCCAAGTGGCCGGTCCTATGCGGTCCGGTCCTAAACGGTCCCGGGCTTCGCGGGCTTATTGCTGGAACCGGCTCGGGACCGGGACCACGAACTAACGGTCCCGGGTTAAGTGTGCAGGTCCCGGGCCTAAGCGGGCCCGACAGATTTTTTCTATTTTTAATTTTTTTTTTATAGAAGTTAGAGAAAAAAATAGTAATAAAGATATATAAGCTATATTCCATTTATATACTATATATACATCTTAAAATATATATATATACTATATTATATATACATAGTCTATAAGCCATATTCGATAGTATACATCTTAAAATATACTATATATACATCTTAAGATATATATATATACTATACTATACTATACTATATTATCTTAAGATATACTATATATACATGTATATCTACTATACTATATTATATATATATCTAGTATATCTAGTATACTATGTATATATAGTATATCTTAAGATGTATATATAGTATAGTATAGTATATATATATGTATATCGAATATAGCTTATATATCTTATGAGATGTATATATATTATAGACTATAGTATAGTATAAATATAAGCATATATATATATATATATATATGTATATCGAATATAGCTTATATATCTTAAGTTGTATATATANTCTAGTATACTATATATACTGTATTTGACAGCCCAATGGCTATTTTTTTTTTTAAAAAAAACAAATAAATAAATTTTTTTTTTAAAAAAATAGCCGTTCGGACCGTTTGGCCCGCTAAGGGACCGGGCCGGTCCCGGGCC